GGCGAGCGGGTTGGCAACCGCAGTTTTTTGTTGTACAGTTGCTGTTATCAGGAAGATGCTGCTGCCCATCTCCTGCCTGTCTCCCTCTGTCGTCTTTTACGACACCCACGGGAATATATGAGGTAGTGGATATTCTTAACCGTCACTACGCAGCATGTTTAGGAACACTATTTAAATTATTATGAATGTACATTTGGAATAGTTTAAACCATAAACTTACTTTTCTTAGTAAAATTAAAATGATAAATGAACTTAGAGTCCACCTGATGGTCAGTGGCTGTTGCAGCCCATAGACACCTGCAACCAACTTCAAACACCCTTTCCCCTTTGAGAGCCAAGGTGGAATACATCAGAGCCTGTTATTATATACTCGTATAAACCCTCAGAATAGAAACAGCATTGACGGAGACACTGATTTTTGATGATAGAAATGGGTGAGTTTGGTACCTATTCTGACAGAATTTAAAGCAGGAAAGGATTCCTACCAATTGCCAATCCAATATGAATGTCTCAAGGTAAAGCAGTAGCTTTAATATGCGCGTATGTAGATTTGATACGCGATAACTGTACCGCATTAACATCTTCCTGGATGCTAAGAGATTGATTCTTCTATCTTTTAATTTGTTCCACCGTTTCGAGTTGGCTGCAAAATACTAAATATCGATGTATGTTACCCTTAGTGGTGTTCATATATGGAGAATACTTGGCATAGTTGTCAAGATTTGCGGGCGGGTTGACTACTACAGTTACAGTTTTCTAATTGTTATTTGGAATACGCCACTGTTCATCTCCTGGTTTGTGATCTTCTATCGCCTCTTTCGAAAACAACACGATGATATAGGGTAGTGAATCTAACTCCGACTATACAGTGTATAGTTATTTCAAATTTATATTAATTGGTAGTAGTCAAGAGTGAGTTAAGTGTAATAGAGTATCTATTGTCGTATCGATTTCAATAAAAAATTGCTTTTTACATAAAAAAGGCATAAAACGTTGTTTCTTTTACTTTGATCGTTTGATGTTAAAATAAAATATGCTAGACATGTTAATGTGGCGCAAATCGATAGAAAAAATGTGAAAAGAAATATTACAAAGGGTTGTGAGAATATGAAAAAATTATTCTTAGATTTCAATATCCTTTGTTTTTGCACGCTGTAGATATTCTGAAAGTTAGATGGACTATTAAACATCCTTAAGACTGCTGTCTAATAGCAGGCAGCCTCGCAATATTGTCGTTCATCACCCTCTCGGTGATCAGCAATTGATTGCGTGCTTGGAGTTTTTTGTTTATTATTTTTACAGCAAGCGGCTACGTACGTCAGGTGGTGATTGGTCGCATTTTTCATCGCATGACGCGGTCGCTCGCTACTTAAGTGGGGAGTAGTTGCATTAGCGAGTGGTATAAAAAGTAGCTGTTTCGGCTCGCCGGCTGCGCCCTCCTTTCTGCAAGGATGTTTGGGTAAGGTGGTGTTTAGTGGGTAATTGTTGGAAAAAAAAAAAAAAAAAAAAGCTCGCCCTCACTTAGAGCTCAGCCATCACAGAGTCTACATCACCTAAGGATGCCTCGTGTAAAAGCGAAACACGTGTCGTATTATCGTCGATGGTGTGTCTTCCCTAGTGTGTACTGTTGGGAGTAGTGTTGCTGGGATTAGTGGTGAATAGTGCATGCAATTGAAGAAGGGCGGGAGGTGCTCCTCAAATTAGGTAAGATACATAATTTTATTTCATTGAGCGGATATGGGCGACGTAATTCTTATCAAATTTAATATAACGGATTTCCGCAAAGTAACGCCTGATTCTATTAATTATTTAAAATAATTTGTTACCTCTGAGAAATCAGATGACATTTCTTGGTACCAGTAAAGGGTCTCAAGTTATCGTTAAACAGGAGACGGTCAATCTGATGTTAAGTGGTTGCTGTAGCCCATAGACATCTACTCTTACATCTATCCTCGATTACGAATTAAAAAGCAGACGCGTTGTCACCCGTGAGGACTGAGATGCCTCGTTTCCAGTAAAAAGGAAATCCGATCCTCTACACTCACCATACGAAACACAGCAGCATTAAGCTACAATTTTACGCTGGTAAGAATACTAAACCACAGAATTGAGAGCTTGGTACTTCCGCGGTCGAGCCGATCTATTCGTGCTACAACTATACTACAGATATAACTGCAGCATGTCTCTACCATTTAGTAATTCGACGTTTATTTTTACACTAGTTATTTTACATTGGTATTCTAACTGAGGGTGGTTCCATCAATAATAATCGAATATCCACTACCCCCTGTCGTCAGTAGACGTTGTAAGAGATGACAGAAGGAAACAGATCAGGAGTTGGGCAGCAACGCCTTTCTAACGTTGTTACAGCGGAGCCCCGGTAATCCGGCTCCTGGCTAGTGCGGCACCCCCTATAATCCGACATCGTCTATTACATACATGTATTTGGTGCGTTTGGCAGAAAAAAGCGCTAGCAAGCGCTTACAAGCGCTGAAATAGTTTTCAGCCGGGACACGATTGCTACTTCAGTAGCGCTGACACAATCCGCCATTTTGCTTATTTAATTTGTTTGTTTTGAAGTAGTAGTTTTAAGTATATAATGACATGAGTAAACATATACATGTTATTAAAAATTCATGATTGGTAAGTTTTTAACATGAATACTTTACAAACATAAAATATATTTAAATTAGGTTAGGTTCCCCGGTTAAAACTAACATCGTGTCCTGGAGGAAAATAGTTTACGATTTGACAGCGCTTACCGCTTACGATCGCCATTTTGCTTACAAGCGCTTGCTAGCGCTTTTTTCTGCCAAACGCACCCATTCGCTAATGCACGGTTGAACAAGTTACAACTTGTACGCAACATCACTATTGTTCTCGACGCGTAGGGTATTGTTTTGATTTTTAATTTTGATAAGGAAATAATAAAAAAAATTAATTATACATAAAATAGTTAATTTTATAATAAAACGTTATCTGTCTATTGTGTTGTTTAATTTACTAAATTTGACATACATAATGAAGTATGATTTGTAATCTTATCATTGGATCTGTGATTTGTCGGATTACAAAGTACTCTTTTGTAAAAAAAATTCGGACTATAGGGTGTCTTAGGCAGTACTCTATAATCCGACAAATTCGATAGTTCGACACTGTTACCGGGGATCCACTGTATTAAAAATAAAAATCTTACCAACCCACCTGCGAAATAAGGTAACCATGAAAAATATGTGGCGACCTATAGGGAGGCCTACGTTCTGCAGTGGACTTATGATAGGCGTAACGTAACGGAAACGGTGGTTCTTATTCGCGTGAGTCGAACTATTCGTGCATACTCTGCGGTGTAGCTCTCAAGCTCAAGCTCGTGAAGAAGGGGAATTTTTGCAGTTAAGTTACAAATACAATTAACATTTTATTATGATATAGAACGAAATCTATGAAATATTATGTACAATAAAACTCAAAAGAATCAATTTACTTTGTGAAATACATAACTGGGAGTAGTATCCTCGGATCATCGCTATAGATATCCATATATTTTTTCCACTTACGCAAATAAATCCATCATATACTATTATATCATTGAGTTTTGTCAACAACATCATAAAAAAATTAAAGAATTTTCCATATCTTGAAGGTAAACAAGTCGAATTATATGTACTGCATTTGTTTGTTCGGCTCACAACAAGGTTGTACTAATTAATCCGTCTAGTCTAATAACGTTCTCAAATGAGTTCGAAAACAAAGTACGGATCGGGCGGTCGAGATTATGGCCATTTTATACAGTTATCCATTCCGATGTAAATATTATATCTTCCATTAAATCTAGAAAAGTGAAATTTCCAAAGAACGGTAATTAATTGAATCAGGCGTTATTTTTCTGAAATCCGTTTTATTAAAGATAGTAAAAGATAATTAGTTAATATCCGCGTAGTAAAATAACGTGCCCTACCTAGTTTGAAGAGCACATCTTCCGCCCACCCTCAATTGCCTGCACTATCCCCGTCACCACTAACTCCAACACCACTAAACTAGGAAAGACATACCACAGTTGATAATACGATATGTATTTCGCCACTAAACGAGGAAACCTCAGATGAAATAGACTGCGGTGGCTGATCACGAAGTAGGTATTACCAGCATATCGGTCGCACTGGTATCATTTGCCATCACGCACTCAGCATGCATTACCCAACGGCGCTAAGAACGCATCGGCTACTGGACTGCATTAACCTCTACTGGAAAGAAGAATCCACTAGGTCACTGCTATGTATATCCTTCCTGCAATGTATATGTCTCTTACATTGCAGGAAGGATTTGTCTTAATCACCGTGAACAATTGATGAAAGTAGTAACAAATATATCGCATTTTTATTTTCATCCATCTATTACAATCCATAAAAGTCCAATTCCCAACATTGGCCTCCCAAATAGGTTTTCTCATCCAAGACTTATGCCTTAGATGCCTTTCTTGGGTAAGCGAGTTGGCAAATGGTTTTTTTTAAATTATTTTAAGTTGTTATCAGAAAGATGTTGCTGCCAATCTCATGTTTTATTTTACTTCTTTCGCACTTTTATTTGTTATATTGATGTCTTGGAGTAACACCGTGAAATATGCATTTAAGCAACTTATGCTAACATTTACACAACTTATTTTGACGAGTTTTTTCTTGGTATTTTTTTCTATTCTTTAAAATAATCATTACTCACATTATCACTAAGATTTTCCACTAAAGTGCGAGATTCAAACCCGCGGCCTTTAGCGCGGTAACTCACTACTAAGCCACTGCGCCAGAGAGACGTCAAATTGTAATCATAATCACGGACTGTTTAATAAATATAATATAATATCAACTAATTTTACAAAATGATTAATCAGTTTGCATTACGAAATACAAACAAACAAGTAACTTATTATAATATATGTTTATTGCGTAGTAGTATAACAATGTAAAATGAACTTAATATTTCATATATTTAATAAAGTTTTCTTAATATTATATTATCTTGAATTTTTCTCTGGCAATAAGATCGAAACGAGCATTTGGATCTTGAATACCGAAGGAGCTTGGTTCAAAATGCTTTGGTTTGTACACTTGTTCCTTCAATGTGTACCGTCTTAGCAGCCACGCTAGTCCAACTTTCACTTGTAATCTTGCAAACCTTTCACCTAAATAAAAGCAAAAAAAAAAACTAATAAAATAAGATATCCATCTATTACATTGCAAGCTATTAAAGTGCGCTGCTGATCTTGTCATAGTTACCCCGCTTGCGCGTTTCTATTACTTGGAATTATTGTAAGAAAGATGGTACTGCCCATTTCCGGGTTCAGTTTCCCTGTGAATGTCCTCTCTTATGGACGACATGGCATAGTGAATATTCTTACACTGCCATTTCTTGATAATCATAAGATATAAATATAATAAATAATAATGAATAAGTTTTATATTATCCGAAACCAATAATTAATTTAATAACAACATAGCACTATACATTTGTAATAAAATTCCAACCGAAAATATTTTTAGTCTTATAACTCTAAGCACCAATAGATTAAAAATATATAATAAAATACGATCATTAAAACATTACTAAAATACGCACAGACTAACACACACACACACACACACACACACACACACACACACACACACACACACACACACACACACACACACGCACGCACGCACGCTCACGCACACGTGCACGCACAAGCACACGCGCACAAGATATTCGATATAAGACATAAGATTAAGATTTCGTACGTGGTAGAACCATGCTGCAGCTATATTAATTGTACTAGCTTTTACCCGCGACTTCGTCCGCATAAGTTTTTTTGTTTTCTCCCGGCTATAAGTCCCCCTGCAACAATGTCCCACTATCGTGTTCCAGTCCTCAACTTCACATCAAAATTTGTTCAAAAGCAACCTAAGCTACATAATGGATAGCTCCGAATGTTTCCTTAGTAAATATAAAAAGTAAATAATGTAAATCGGTTTAAAATACTACTAACTACCTACCTGCCAACCCCCGATGTTAGACAGTGTGACATCCGTAACATCGTCTGCGTAGGAAGTACTAACTTAATGTAAGTAGTATAATAATGTAGGAAGCTAACAATAAGAGGCCTTATTACTGTAGTACATTTTTGTAAACTATGTTCTTTGTTTTTCCCTCTCTGGCCAACACATGCAGATTCTGTGGACTTGAAACACGTGAGCAAGCCACGTATAATTGTCCGTGAGAAAAACAACTCTTTTCTAAATTAATGCCGGCTACTTTTAATGTTTGCCCCTGAGCTTTATTTATCGTCATAGCGAATGCGATTTTCAGCGGAAACTGTAATCTCTTAAACTGGAATGGCAAATCTGTCGGAATTATGGGTATACGGGGGGATTAAAACGTTCTCTCCTTTTGCCATTCCAGTCATAATGATTGCTTTTACAATATTGCGACCGAGGTGTGTCACTTGCAACCGTGTGCCATTACACAGTCTTGGTGCATCTAAACTCCGCATTAAAAGGACAGGAACGCCTACTTTCAGCCTCAGTTTGTGTGAAGGTACTCCCGACAGTTCTAAAGAATTAAGAAATTCTACAGGGTATGATGTTACTTGTTCAGTATCCATTACAGTGTCTACAGAGAGAAACTCAACAATATCACCTTCCACGCGTGACATAATTTGCTCGTTTATCTGTCCCACCATTTCATTCGTCGGCGCTAAAATTGCTCTTTCACATAACCAGTCTCTATTCCTCATATTAGTTAGCAGTTCGCTATAGACGAAGTTATTTAGATCATCTGGATTATGCACAACATTGCAGAATTCACGATCCAATGTAATCATGCCATTACCATCCTTTGCCATACGATCTTCTCCAATTTTAAGAAGAGCAGCAGCATAATGTCCAGATTGTACATCATTGTGTAGTTGCACTCTCATATTTGTAGACAGACTAAACGTTTTTACGTGCACCCATAACGTTGACGCTTTTAAACACGCATTTATTTCATCTGCAGGGGTGCCTTTAGTGATAACCGGCAAAGTCTGTCTAAAATCGCCCGCTAAAAGTACCACCATCCCCCCCATGATATTTGGATTACTCTTGATGTCTTTCAAAGTCCGATCTAGAGCTTCAATTGCTCTTTTATGGGACATAGTACACTCATCCCAAACTAATAATTTACATTGCTGCAACATACGTCCACGCTCGCTGTTTTTACTTATATTACAGACTGGCATTTCTTCATGGGCTAAGTTTAATGGCAGTTTAAGCACCGAATGTGCCGTTCGACCACCATTGAGCAGAGTGGCGGCTATTCCGGAAGAGGCAACTGCTACAGCAATTCCTTTATCTTTTCGGATTTGCGCTAAAAGCAAGTTTAAAAGAAAGGTTTTTCCCGTGCCTCCGGGAGCATCCAAAAATAACAAACCACCTTCGCCATCTTCGATTTTTTTGAAAACATTGTCAAATACTAACCTTTGTTCTGGGATCAAACGTGGAACAGACTCTGTCAATTGTTGTTGTAAGGAAGCAGTATCGTAATCTAGTTCCCGTATTAAATCGCTACTGATTTCCTCGGTTCTCTGTGGTCTGATCATTCCATAATCTGATAAATCCTTTCCAGAAATTGTTTTAACCTGGTCTTCAATTTTTGTCAAACCCTCATTGTAAATTAAATCACTGTACGTGACATTGGGATTTTGCTCTTGTAATCTGTGCAATATATCGTCGGTCATATCATTTTTGTATTTATCCCACAATTGTTGAGGATTTGAAAGACCACATGTCGCTACTAATACAGCAAATAGCTCTCTCATCTTGCCTGCTGATCTACATTGAGCAGCTTCTTCCAGTGTCACATCCCAATGGTTGTCATTCTCCAGTAATCCTCTTGCCTCACATGCCTCTCGAAATGTAGGATAATCTTGTGTGTTGTATTTTTTTAGATCATTGAAAGAGGTAGGTCCGCGCACATGGTGTAAAAGCATGCGTAGACAAAAACATTCCATGTTACTAACATGAACTGTATAAACTCGTCCTAAAGCATCTCCAGATTTGACGCCAGGCCAATCGTGAACTGAAGTACCTTGAATGCGGCGTTTCCAAGTTTTCCTACTTGCATCCCAAGTATAATACCTCGGCACCTCGACATAAAGAAGAGTTTTTGCAAACTCATCTCTGATACAAAGATCAAAAAAAGCAGTGAGTGTGGTTTTTGGCGGAGTAGTTATTCGTTCGTGGAAATTGTGTTCATTAAAATAAACGCGTTCACCATTTTCTAAATGCACGCTGAGATGTGTCACGGTGGGATGCCTTTCGTGCAACAGAAATGCTAACAGACGCCACACGGCTTCGTTGCTGCTGACATACCGACCAGACTGATAAGTTTGTACCTCATCTACGGGATTCACAAGATCAGTATTTCTAAAATTGAAAATAGCTTGATCACTACCCTTGTTTATATATTTGCAAATATATTTGATGGCGCGTACTGAACTGCATGCCTCAACATTTATGTGGGCGTTAAACATTTTTGATAAAATTGGTGAATAGGGGACTACCCAACTATTATCAACCGTAACGTAGCTACCATTTCGGAGCTTCACGGTTGCTGTTCGACCTCCGTCTGCTGGCGCTCTTCTACGATACTGCGGGTATCCGTGGTCGTTGTGAACGGTCTCTTTCACTAACTTGCGAGGAAATTTTTTTTGTGCATTTTCCGTCTTTCATGCAGTGGCACTGTGGATTTTCGGGTCCGCATGGACCGTGAATCATATTTTTTACAATAATGTCATGGAGAGTCTTGTCAATGTTAGGATCCGGTATTTCAGCGCTGATTATGTTATCTATTTGATCGGGTCGTAACTTATCTTTTAACCACAATAATATATGGACATGTGGCAGTCCACGTTTCTGCCATTCGACAGAGTACATAAAGCAGCACACTTCTCTGAACACTCGGCCTTTATTAATCACATCCATTAGTTTTTTAACTTTTAGTCTAAAAACTCTTGCGACTACATCATGTCTATCTATTGCGCTTTGCCCCGGCATCAACTGATTGACTATTTCGGGCCAGGCTGGGTTGCAAGTAAAGGTGACGAATAAGTCAGGGCGACCATGTGTACGCACATAAACAAACGCGTCCTGAGTATATTCGTGTAAGTACCGCGGGCTATTTACAAATGAAGATGGTAAAATGACCATACGACCTAAGTTATTTGGATTTAAATTAGCGTCATTTGCCACAGCGTCTTGAAGATGGATGTAATTCTCTGCTCTTAGTTTAGTTTGATTTAATGATATGTACCGTAACCTCTCGCTTTCAACTTTAACGTACATGTCAACGTAAAACTGATTGGCCAGTTGCTTGCATCTTTGTACAATGTTAAAGTTGTTTTCTCGTATCATCATGTTGTAGGCATAAAAATCCATGCATGAAACCTTTTTGTTATGCAAGGGAAGACCTGTTACAGGATTAATTTGAGGAACTTGAAAGTGGTACCCCTCTTGTCCCTTACTAAATATGATCGGATATTGCAACGCATCATAAAATTTATGAGTATCAGGCACCCTGGTTAATGTGTCATCTCGGGCCTGTAAAACTATATCACGGAAAGCAAACTGTTCGCCTGTAACCAAGGCTGCGACTTCATTTATTAACGGTGCATTATACCGCCTTTCATGTTCCCCACTTGGTGTGCGATCGGGGTGCATCACCAACCTATAATCCTCTCCCGGCATTCTTTCTAGTGCTGTTTTGAAAGTATTGATAAGGCGATTATGTTCATGCAACATTCTCTGGATTTTTAAAACAGTATCCCTTTCGATTCCTTGTATATTTTGACACCTGCGATCAGCTTCGTTTTTTTCATCGCCCATGAAATAAAGTTGCAAAAACTTTGGTTGTTCATTATTTGCGGGAAGTAAGGAACCAATCCTGTGATACACCTGTCCTTGGATGGTAAAAGTAGGTGAAAATCCAGGCATTACGACCTCCTTATCTACACCAAATGACGTCATCTGAAAGCAAGAATTATACTTTCTAATCCTGCTTAAAAACCGGCGCGATTCGTTACTGTCGTATAAAAGTAAAGATTTAAGAGGTTCCTCTGGTTCGCCAAGTAATGGAATTTTAACCTTTCCACCAGAACAGCACATACCTGGAGTTTCTTCTTTCCATTTCAGTGCTTCACAATATCTGCATTTTTTATCCATTCTCCCAATGATAACCAATCGGTGATTAACATAGTCGATCAAAGGGTCATACTCAAAAGCGGCACCATTAAATGCCTCCCACGTACTCATTGAAAACGTACGTCTTCTTTCTGCCTGCCGTTCAGCATTTAAAAGACGTCGTCTTTGTGAATCTTCGTCAGTCTCTGCCGCAATCAATTGCGCGTGACGTTCGGCATCTAAAACTCGACGTGTCTGAGTCTGTTCCACTGTCTCAGCAGCTCTTTGAGATGCGTGGCGTTCAGCATCCAGGGTCTGACGGGCCTGAGTCTGCGTAAACGTCTCAGAGGCCCTTTGAAATGCGTGGCGCTCAGCATCTAAGGTTTGTCGGGCTTGAGTCTGCGTATAGGTCTCAGAGGCCCTTTGAGATGCGTGGCGTTCAGCATCCAGGGCCTGACGGGTCTCAGTCTGCGTAAACGTCTCAGAGGCTCTTTGAGATGCGTGGCGTTCAGCATCTAGGGCCTGACGGGCTTGAGTCTGTGTAAACGTCTCAGAGGCCCTTTGAGATGCGTGGCGCTCAGCATCTAAGGTCCTACGGGCTTGAGTCTGCGTATAGGTCTCAGAAGCTCTTTGAGTCGCATGACGCTGAGAATCTAACATCTGACGCGTCTGAGTCTGCTCTTCAGATTCTTGGCTTCTAGCAAATTTTGCAGTTCGAGCTCTGCTAGAACTACGGCTTAGATTGGATTTACGTTTGCGTGGCATATCGAAAACAATAAAACAATAATTAAAGATTTGTAAAATCGGTAGTTTTAAAAACTACAACGTAAGACAATTTTTTATAAAAACTTCGATAAAGCAAACTTTTTTTACTTATAACCTAAATATCTAAATCAATCAATAACGTATTGAACCGAAACAACTATGCACCTGACAAACCTTTTATACCTAAAACCTAAATTAACTAAATAAATTCAAAAATATTGAATTTATGTACCACACCACAATACACAATTTTCTTCACTACTGGTACTACCTACTTATCTATCAAAACTAACATAAAAGTACTATAATATAATGACAAAATCTATTACTAAACTAATTTACTACGAACTATAAACATCCTGATGTGAGCTAAAAAACACTTAACCTACACATGAATAAAATTGAGAATTAACAAATGAAAGCGACTGCAAAAATAAAGAATAATACGTATCTGAGTAAACCTAGAGATATGAATGATTGGTTAAGAAAATACCTACATCTAACAGCTACCTTAACTACCTAATAATAAAAATGTAACTAAGTACTTAATAAAAATACGAAAATGACGTCAACTTGGACTCAAAAATAATAACCTACCAAATATTTATTTAGATATCTAAAACAAAGGACTAAATTAAAGCTTACAGACCCTACGCGTAGACCGTAGTACCTATTTCAACTCTGAATTTAAAAAGAACGTTTTTAGCTAACCAAAAATCCGCAACGAATAGAGTTTCGTAACGCAATATTTCAATATTCGCATACGTGCGACGACGACGTCTGCCCTCGTGCGTCTGCCCGCTTGGGTAGGCAGTAGGCACAGTTGGGCACGGCCCTCCCCCTCGCGCCGCAGCGCCTCTTCGCTCGGCGCAGCGTCTTGTATTCACTACGACGACGTATGATTTGAAGGTTTGCGTTATATTGAATTATTTTCCCTCGTTGAATAGTAAACAAACTAAGTGTAGGTGTTATAATTTCGGTGATGAACTGATTACCTATCCGTTTCTTTGTCTAAAATGAGTATTAACTTATCACTATGATTGATTACTGAGCATAAAGTTCGTATAAATGTCTATCTAATTACCTCCTCAAGTTTAAAGCGTAGCTAGTTATGTAGTACTATATTAATTCTGTGGTGTAGGTAATTAGATTTTATCTGTATGTAATTTAACAGTCAGTTGAATAAAAAATCGTATACAAATCAGATCAATAGCTATGGCGTAATGTGATTCTAGACAGAGTTTTAATGTTGTAGATAGGTAGCTGTGTATAGGTTCCTGTGGGAATGAGATATTTTCCCGAAGTAAAAAGTAGTCTGAATTTTGGTACCTTCCTACCCTATAAGTTAAGTAGTGTGATGGTATGTCGCTAAGTTTCGATCCAAGTAAAACTGTTAAATAAAGACAGATGCATCAAAATTTTATAATAAATTCCCTAAATTATGGCGCCTACCGACCCTCTAAGTTAGAAAAGTGATCAAATACTAACTTTAAGTCTTAGTAACACTCATTTAAAAAAAAACATCAAAATCATTTCAGTAGCTATGGCGTCATTCGCTTCTTGACACGATCACGCTAGATTTCCGCGGGAATGAGGTATTTTCCCGCCGTAAGAAGTAGCCTGTGTCCGTGCCTAGGATCCTATCTTTATATTAACCAAGTCTTATAAAAATCCGTTCAGACGTTAAGGCGTGAATGAGGTAAACTTTTAAACCAAACTATTAAAAATCACTAACTTAATTAGTTTTCTGCCTACTGCCTACGCCTTAAGTACGATAGCATGAATATTAATAGCCCATGTCCTTTTCTAGGTTACTATCTATCACCTAACTAAATTTCATCAAAATCCGTTCAGCCGTTTAGGCATGATAGAGCAAAATTCCCACCAAAAACCATAAAAAAATCACTAACTCAATTCAGTTTTCTGCCTACTTCCTACCCCCTAAGTACTATGACGTGATCATTTTGATCTTATATCCGTTTTTAGGTAACCATCTATTACCTTACAGATCTGTTCAGCCTTTTATACGTGAAAGAGCAAAAGTCCCAACAAAAACGACTAAAAATCACTAACTCAATTTAGTTATCTGCCTACTGCCTACCCCCTAAGAACGATGGCGTGATTATTTATAGCCTATGACCATTTCTAGGTTATCATCTATCACCATACCAAATTTCATCAAAATCCGTTCAGCCGTTTAGGCGTGAAAGAGGAGCAGACAGACAGACAGACAGACAGAGAGAGTTACTTTCGCATTTATAATATTAGTATGGATAGAGTACGAATGGGTCGGCTCGACCGGGGAAGAACCACGCTCTCACAGAATACCAGCGTCAAATAGCAGCTTGATGCTGCTGTGTTTCGTATGGTGAGTGTAGAGAACCGGAGACCCTTTTTACTGGAAAAGAGGCATTCCATCTTAGTCCTCAAGGCTGACAACGTATCTGCATTTTGATTCGCAGGCGAGGATAGATGTGGATGTCTACGGGCCGCAGTAACCACTTACCATCACCGGACTGTGTGCTCGCTTGTCACCCTTTTCCTATAAAAAAAATATAAACAGAAATAAACTGCATTTATTTACCTATTCATTTATAATTTTATTAAACCGTAGCTTATATATATATATATTTTATATTTTCAAATATGCATAATCCATTGCGTCCTGTATATAGATATTTCATTAAGAGCAAAATATTAACCTGACGAACTACACAATAATACATACAAACTGCGTAGCGTTCCGCCTTACCGTATAACCGTAATACCGAAGAGGCTTTCTTAGCTACGGTGAATTAAAGGGCTTCAGCTATACACCCGGCTGAAGGCTAGCCCAAGGAGGCGCTCTAAGTAGCTTGATGAGCCCACTTTAAACGTGTATCACCGAGAAACGTGGAGTCACGAGTATACATAAGTTAATCATAAATAAGATTTGTTTTATATGCTTACCAAGACAGACACGATTTCCTTCACCAAAAGGTAGGTAACTATACTTCAAAATTTTGGAACTATTCTCGGGCGAAAATCTCTCAGGATCGAACAAATCTGGATTGGGAAAATATCTTTCATCTCTGTGTAAAGCGTAAATCGGGATCACAGCTATCTCGTCTTTTTCCATTTTTACTTGCCCAACGGGTAGCGTTGTTTGTCTGGTACATCTTCTTTGAACTGCACCGATTGTAGGATATTTTCTCATAGCTTCGTTCATTACCATATTAAGATATTTCATGCTCTCTATATTATCAAAAGTGATGTTTTCCTTGCATTGATCAAATACATTATCTATTTCTTCATGTAGCTTTTGTAGAACGCCAGGATTTCCAGAAATTTCTAAAAGAACGAAAAGCATGGTATGTGCAGATGTATCTGCACCTGCAATGAAGAAAAAGAACGCCTGTGCCGCCATCAGTTCGTCGGAAGGATTCAACGTGAATCCTGTTGACGAATCTTTCATTAAGCCTTCTTTTTGTAATTCTATACAGGTATCAATGAAATCGTGCCGCTTTTCAAGTTCACTGCGACGAGCTTTTAATACACTTTTCACAACATTAATAAAAAAGTCCTCGTGTTCTCCAAATAATTTTAATTTTAGTAAATTGTAAAGTTTGGGGAACATATTTGAAATGGTAAATTTTAAATTAGTTAAAAATGTTGGCTCCAGAGCCTTCCATGCCATTTCAAGAAACGGGGAATCCATGGTGTTTTTAGTATAAGTGTCGATGCCAAAAATGGCTGCGGCTATTGAGGCTGTTGTATAAGTGTATAATGCGTTGAAGGGTTTGTCTTTTGCCTGTTGACTGTTTTCTATTAATTTAACGAAGTCTTGAGCGCAGCGTTCTAAAATATAAAACATATTCTTAAGTTTTTTGGATGTAAACACAGGCGATATTTTCTGTCTTACTATTCTCCAGCGATTGTAATCATCCATAAAGAGCACATTATCGGCAAGTAAATCATTAGAGTTTATAACAAAACCTCGACTGTAGAAGCTTTGAAAATCGCCCTGTAACACTGCTTGTAAATTTTCTAAATTTCTTAATATTATTGCTGGTTTTGATCCAAGAAATATACCGACATTATCTTCTTTTGGATATGCATCATATATGTCCTTATAAATTTCAGGAAGTGATTTGTTTTCTGTCATAAACTTCCAAATGACCTCGTGTCCTTGAGCAACATTTCTCTTCCGCCAAAAGTTGTTGTAAATTGTCATGTATCGTATTATTATTAATAATGTTGCACTTAAAACCAGAGAAGCAATTAACAACATAGTTTTGTTGTAATAGTAAGTAATAAGTATAACGTATTTGAACACGTCGACGTCTAACGTCCGCCTGTTTATATAACTAACAGATGTGCTGAGCGCATATAGATACATATAGCTCCAGGGTCTGCAAAGTTAAGGACATAAGTCAAAAACTTAAACTTCACAGAAGAAACAAGTAACATAAACACAAGAATTATAGGAAAATAGTTTTTTTTTTAACTTTACTGTATAATAGGGATTAAGCAAACAAAAAATATTTACATAACTTTTTATACTTACTTACTTAAAGACATAAACAATCCTTACGATTGAATTCTTAAATTCTTGGAATAATAATCTTAATAGGTGTAAATATGAATTTTATCATCTTCTATAATATCTAAATTTTTCGCATTTCCCCTTGGCATAAAATATTTATATTTAATAAATTTAAAAAAAGTCGTAGATATCTTTTAAACTACTTTTCCTCATGTAATTGCTTAAGAATAATGACATACAGTCTACCTGATGGTAAGTCGATACTGTGGCCTATAAACATCTACATACAAATAGGAGAAGTCCTTAAATAAGAGCACATATTCTAATACTTTTTATATATAGTTTGCCTGTCATTGAATAATAGACATCACTTGAATTTCATTCTATATCTCCTAAAAATTTGCTTTCCTCTCGAATCTCAATAACTAAGATTATGCCTACTTTATTCATCTTGCTTTAATGTTTGATACCTTTTTCACAAAAATTTTAACAGTTGGTGTTTCGGATTGTAATTAGGCTAAGCTCAAAGAGAAATTTGCTTCATTTTCGCTTCTAAATTAAAGTTCAGATTTATACAGCAAAAGATTCGAAATGACTACCTCTAGAGAAGTAGATGTCTTTGGTTTTGTCCAACTTTATACTGTGGTGAAGAACGTCGCTAGCTGGCAAATACTGTTAAGGTAAATCTGGGGCAATATCATTTCTTGATAACATGCAAATTGCATACTATATTTCAGTAGTCGTAAATACTCCACAAATTGACGCTACATGTTCTGGTTCTAGCTGTCCACGATTTATGGTATCTGAAAATAGTAAAAGTAAAATATTAATTTTAGAGAACTATAAAAACGTGTTTGTAAAATTTACTATCTAATACCATAAAATAGTAAATTACGAGTTATGGCCATTAGTAGGCGGACTCTGAACTCGCACTACAAGCAATTACTTTATTTATTATTTACCATCATTTATAATAATTGCCCTTTGAGACTTCATAAATCATGTTTGGATATTATTTATCTCTCTTACTAATGATCTTAATTTCCATACAATATTTGGGCATTTTAACTCATATCATGGCGTATTTCACACATATACATTTATTCTAGCACAAACACCGATGTACTATGTTTGTATGTTATCACTTTAAAAACACGAAACAAACTTATTTTATATAAAAAAAGAATCATTAATGCCGGTTCATAATTAGCGTACAATATAAGTAATACAATTATATAGTAAAACACTAAAAACAATGTTTTTTATTGTTTTTAAAAATAATATTAACAATGCTATAAACATTACTAATATTCCCCTTAACCACTCGTGGCAAGCTTAAATTGCTTGTGTTACGAGTGGTTCACGCCAGTAGTCGAAAGGTGGATTCGAACCCACGACCTTTTTGAATACGCAGTCCGCGCCCTGCCATTAGGCTACTGTCGCTTTAAACGTGATACAATTCTTTAAAAAAATCGTAGAAATCGATTCACAAATAAAATACGGTTAAAAATAAGCAAAGGACATCCTCCTTTTTCTTGAAGTTGGCTAAAAAGCAAACATGTTATGTTGCCTGGAGTAGCTATAGTAGTAGCTGTCTTTCATACTAAGTAAATTAAGATTATTATATGCGTTTTGGTAATGTCTGTTAATACGATTAACATCTACATGTACGCTTTGACATAATTTACCAACATCTTTTCCATTTTTACAAGTGCATTAAAAAAAATGTTACCCGTATACTTTTATCCGAAGACCAGCATAAAATAGTAGAGTAATGCTGCTGTGTTTCGTATGGTGAGTGTAGAGAACCGGAGACCCTTTTTACTGGAAAAGAGGCATTCCATCTTAGTCCTCACGGGTGACAACGCATCTGCATTTTGATTTGTAATCGAGGATAGATGTAGATGTCACAGCAACCACTTACCATCAGGTGGACTGTGTGCTCGTTTGTCATCCTGACCTATAAAAAAAAAACTCGAATTTTCTCCTGTATCGTGGAGGCAGTTTGCAAACCTAAATTGCACAAGGAAGAACATCTAGACTCGGAACAATTTTAAGCCATACAAATACTTGTACTGTGCGGGATTCGAACCCGCGGCTCTCAGTGCCGAAACTCAATGTCAAGCCAATGCGCCATGGAACCGTCTAAATTCTCTCTTATGGACCGTATAAATAAAGTCTAAATATTAAATTAATTTGATTCTAAAGGACAATAAGAATACACAAATGTAATACTCAAATGGAGATAAAAAGAAATTAATAACAAATATTACCTCTTAACATCATCAACAAGTTGTAGGCTGGCATAGTATGCGTAATATTAGATAAGTGGAGTTGAAATTATTATTTATTTATTGAAAGTCATTTTTTTACTCTACCACTGGTTCTCTAAAACAAAAACTTCTAAGATGGGAAGAACCAGCAAGAAGTATCACCAGCTTGTATTTGTTCGTAGTGTTTACAGAGTGTATATCCTTTTTAAAAACTTTTTTTATGCAATTTATAAAAGTAGAAGGAGGTCAAAAAAAGATCAATGAACTATGCTTGAAAGATGATATTATGCGTAAAAAAGTGTCCGTGATGAGAGAAGGATGTAATATTAAAGAGAACGACATACTATGCCAACCCGGAATAACTTAGATTTTTCATTCCCCTATTTATTGGGTGCCATAAGATTTTTTAGCCTTTTCACTTTAGCACTAACTTTTTATGATGGAACAAAAATAAAGCCACTAGGTTACTGCGAGGTTAATGTGACATATGGGCGGTATAGCAAAGTTTTAGACTTATGTTATCAATAACGGTACTACTACTTTATTAGGCAGACAGTGGTTGTCAGAACTTGATATCAGCGTACCAAAATTTAATGTAAACATGTTAAACGAATCAGCCATGAATGTATCTCATGCCGTAAATGAATTGTTTTTCAGCTATGCTGAGTTGTTCGACGGCGGGCTGGGGCGCTTCACGGGCTGGCGGGCTCGGCTGGCGGTGCGCGCGGGCGCGGCCCCGGTGTTCTGACGCGCGCGGCCGCTGCCCTACGAGCTGCGGGAGCGCGTGGACGCCGAGCTGGACGCCATGCTGCGCGCGGGCGTCATTGAGCCCGTCGAGTGCTCGGACTGGGCGACTCCTCTCGTTATTGTCAATAAATCGGATGGAGCTATTCGAATATGCGCGGATTACAAGGTAACTCTCAATCGTGTCTTATCTGTCGACAAGCACCCAGTGCCTAAAATTGACGACTTATTGTCGCAATTAGGGGGAAGTAAATTTTTCAGCAAAATAGACTTATCACAGGCATACAATCAGATCGAGCTTGACGATACCAAAAAGTACACAGTAATTAACACCGATCGCGATTTGTTTATGTACAACATACTTGTTTTCCTCTTAGCATCCAGTCCGGGAATTTTTCAAAGAATAATGGTTAACTTGTTAAAAGATATCGAGGGGGTTGTAGTATTTTTGGATGACGTTTTGATCGCTTCGGATACTATCGAAAACCATATACATACTTTACGTAAAGTGCTAGATAAATTGAAAGAGTCCGGCCTTAAATTAAAAAGGGAAAAATGTGAATTTTTTGTAGAAAAAGTGAAATATTTGGGTTATGTAATAAATAAAGAGGGAGATCCACCCCAATCCTGACAAGATAGAATCGATTCTGTTGATGTCACCACCCAAAGATATTTCGGAACTTCGGTAATTTTTAGGAATGGTCAATTTTTATAGCCGTTTCGTGACCAATTTGAGTACCATTTTACAGCCACTTTACGAACTACTAAAAAAAGACTCGATGTGGAAATGGGGTAGATTAGAACAGCAGGCTTTCACTGTAGTTAAGAGACGTTTGAGTGACGCGGTCGCGCTGAGCCACTACGAGCCGGGCGCGCCGCTAGTGGTGACGTGTGATGCCAGCGCGCGCGGGCTCGGCGCCGTGCTGACGCAGCGCGACGCGGCCGTCCGCGAGCGCCCCATCATGTGCGTGTCGCGCGCGCTCACCGCCGCGGAATGCAACTACAGTCAGATACAAAAAGAGGCGTTAGCTATTGTATTTGCTGTGAAAAAGTTTCACCAGTATATTTACGGGGGACGCTTTACATTGCGGACGGATCGTAAACCGTTAGTCACAATATTCGGTCACACTAAGGTATTCCTAGCATGACGGCCAGTAGATTACAGAGATGGGCTTTAATATTAACAGCTTACGATTTCGATATCGAAATACGTCTCAACTAATGATAATGTGGCGGATGCATTGTCGCGAATGATTTCTACCCATAAAGAGAGTAGGTCGGAGGAAAATCGAGAATTTCCGGAACAAACTTATTTACAATTTCGCGTCAGAGGCCTTATTAATAGACAATAATAGTTTAAAGCGGGAAACTGCGAGGGACGCGATACTCGGGCGTACCCTCAGTTATATACGGGACGGCTGGCCGCAAGATATCGAAATAAAAGATATCAAACCATAATTTCATAGAAAGAAAGAGTTATACGAGGAACTGGGGTGCGTCATGTGGGGTCACAGAGTAGTGGTATCTTCTAGTTGCAGGGAGAAAGTTCTCGCGGAGTTACATGAGGCTCACATGGGGATCACTAAGACGAAACAGTTCGCTCGCAGCTACGTGTGGTGGCCGGGGATCGACCAGGCGGTGGAGGCCGGGTGCTACGCCGGCTCGGTGTGC